GATCAACTGCCTCCTGCACGCCCCTGACTGGTGATCGAGCCCACAACCCGGTCATGTGCCCTGACCGGGAATCCAACCGTGATATCCTGGATCCTAGGTCAATGCTCAAATGCTGAGACACACCTGGCCGGGCAGCTCTAGTTAGTTTTAAAACCTTGGAGAAGTTATTTTACCTCTCCTAGTTTTTGCATCTGTAAAAACATCTTGATGGTTGACAGAATGATCCGTAAGTTCCCCAATTTGCATTCTTTGTTCTTATACAAATATGTATTTATCTATCTGATACAATTTGCATCAAGGTTGTGCCATATATAATTAGTTAGGCCAGTTGTTTAGAATGTTTTTCTCAAAGATCTACATATATTAGCTCCAACTTATATATACATAATTCTTAATTCATACTTATCAAATGATTATACTATACATGGAAATCTCTAAATTGGGAAGCATTTTACAAAAAGTCAGGTATTGCTAATTTCTGTCTGTAAGTAAAATGTGTGCATACCACACTTTTTAAAAATTCACACCCAAGGATATATTTATTGATTTGAGAGAGAGAAAAAACAAGAGAGAGGAAGATACATCGAGACATCCATGTGAGACAGGTTGCTTCCCATATGTGCCCTGACCAGGTATCAAACCTGAAGCTTAGGTATGTGCCCTGACTGGGAGACAACCCGCAACCTTTTTGGAATAGGGGATGACATTCCAACCAACTGAGCCACTCCGCCAGCCTCATACCACAGTTTTGTGTTTTTTTAATGTTTCTATGACTTTTAGAAATTTGTAAGGGGATGTATAACTACTGCCTTGTAACTGTAATGGACTAAGAACTTTAAAAGACTATGCAGGCATCTCATTCATTCATTTATTCATTCATTTAATTTATCTTTTTCCTTCATCTGTCACTTATTTTGTGCCAGGCGACCAAGATATAATGGTTAAGACAAGCCCTACCCTATGAGTTTAGTCTGGGATGGTAGTGATAGAGGTGGGGGTTGTGGAGAGATATATGTATAGACAGTTTATTTTTATTAACAACAGTCAAATCATGGAAATAAAGTTATGAGGATATTGAAGCTCTACAGGGGAGGAAGAGGTTGGTGATCGTATCAGTTGTAGCCTGTAGACTCTCTTCTTTGCATTCCTTTTTTTTTTTTTTTTTTCTTCCTTAACTTCAAATTGCTGAGACTTTAGCAAAAATAAAAGCATTTTTGTACTCCTAATACTCACTGGCTTGTCTTACTAGTTTTCTTTCTTTTTTCACTGTTTATTTTGAAATAGTTGTAGATTTTTAAACTGTTGTTAAGAAATAATACTTTATCTGATTTTCTCCAGTGGTAACATCTTGCATAACTGTGGTGTACTGTCACAGCAAGGAAACTGAATAGATACAGTCCATCCACCTGATTCAGAGATCATCAGTTTTACATATAGTCATATTTGTGTGTGTATTTAGTTCTATGCAGTGTTATCACATGGTTAAATTTGTGTAACCATCACTATAGCCAAGATACAGAACTGTTCCATCACAGTTTTGTAGCCACAGCCATCTCTCTCCCTCCCTGACCCCTGGTAACCACTAATTTGTTTTTCATGCCTATACTTTTGTCATTTCAAGAATGCTATATAAATGGCATCAAACAGTATGTGACTTTTTGAGACTGGCTTTTTTTTTTTCACTCAGCATAATTTCCTGGAGATTCATGCAGGGAATGTGTCTTGTATCAACAGTTGCTTTTCATTGTTGAGTTGTAGTCCATGGTGTGGATGTACTAGGTTTTAAACATTCACCCTTTGAAGGACATCTGGATATTTCCTGTTTTCTTTGGGGGTTTTTGTTTTGTTTTAAACCTGTTATGAATAAAGCTCCTATGAACAGTCAGATAGTGGTTTTTATGTGAACATAAATTTTCATTTCTTTGGGATAGATGCCCAAGAGTGCCATTGCTGGTTGTATGTTAGTTGCTTGTTTAGTTTTATGAAGAACCACCAAACTGTTTGCCAGAGTGGCTTATCATTTTATTCCCACCAGCAATATATCAACACTCCTTATCTTTGCCAGCTTTTCGTGCTGTTACTATATTTTATTTTAGCCATTCTGATAGGTGTCTAGTGGTATCTTGTTGTAGTTTTAATTTGCATTTCCCCGATGGCTAATGATTTTGAACATCTTTTCATTTGCTCATTTGCCATCTCTGTATCTTCTTTAGTGAAATGTTTGATCATGTCTTTTGTCAATTTTCTAGTTGGAATTTCTATTTTTACTGTTGAGTTCTGAGAGTTCTTTATGTATTCTAAATACTAATCCTTTGCTGGATATGTGGTTTGTAAATATATTCGCCCAGTCTGTAGCATGTCTTTTCATCTTCTTCACAGGAATTTTCACAGTACTAAAGTCTTTAATTTTGATGAGTCCCATTTTATCATTTTTCCCTTTTATCTGTCAGTCTTTCGGGTCAAGGAGTCTTATGTACCTTTGTTATTTAATTTATCCCTTGCTGTTTTCTATGACTGCCAATATTTCTGTGAGCAGTTTGAGTATCTTTCTTCTTTCACAATCCTGGAGTTCCAGTGTATCATGTGAACAAGTGGTCTTGATGGCCTAGAGTGTGA